GGTGGGGAAGAGACAGAAATCTTTAATAAATAAATAAATAAATTAAAAAAATGCTTGACATAGAACTTAGTGCTGAGCATGTGCAGGCTCTTTCTTGTCACCGTTCTGGAAACTATACGGTGTGACAGTGATTTGTCCCACATTGACATTGCATTTCTTGTGGGTTCTAAGTGACCTGAGATGATTTAAAGTACATGGGAAAAATTTTACAAGGATTATATCCAAATTCTATAATATTTTATATAAAAGATTTAGACTTCTGTGGTAGCTGAGGGGGATCTTGGAGCTGGTCTGTGAACACCAAGGGGAAACTGTGTATGTGATATATAAAATGTATGCATGTAAATATTTACATGTAAATATATACCTTAAACAGGATTGCTTTCAAATGGACGATGACTGGAATAAAAAGCAGGGAGCACAAGATACTTGATGGGAGAAATGAATAAAAACCCTTCAATTTGTTGGAGAAAATTTCCTCATGGAGAGCTGATAGAAATTCTTGGAGGGAAAAGCTACTGAGTTACTTCATATAGTGTCTGAGAAAGGACCACCAGACAACGAGAATGAGGAAGACCAGATATGCATCTTACAGAAGGAATGTGATGGGGCAGGAGCAAGGTCTCTAGGTATGGACCACCCATGTCTCCATGTCTGGATGTTCATGGGTATTACCTCAATGAATAGGATACTCTGGGATAGCCAACGAAAAGACACCCCCAGTAAAGACTATCATTGGTCATCTAAAAGGTGGAAGGATTTTCCCACCATGGAAAGGCATTGCTTTTGGGTAATCACAGATTCAAATCTGGTCTAGCCATTGAGTAGAGAAAGGCAAAGCTGCTTACTTCAGGCTGGGGATTGTTAGCTCTATGTTGAACTTCTCGGCCACGTGTATCTCCCAGACGCACTCCGTGTCAGTGGGGTAGTTTGTAGGGTACCAAGGACTGGAGAAGGATCCCGAGAGACTTGAAATGACTCCTCCACAGGAGTTACTTCCTTCTGAGAAAGCAGATGAGAGACTTGTGGTTGGCATCTTCAGGAACGCCCTTGGCATGTTCCTAGATGCAGAATTCAGAATGACAAATTCTACACTGGGCATCCTAAAATGGGAAGAGATTTGGCTGGTCTGGATAGTCATAGTTTGGCTGGTACAAGTAGGTATAGATCTAAGAGTGGATGCAGGAGAATAAAATATATACGATTGGCAAGCTGGACTTTGAAACTGATTGAGAACTAGACGTGTGTGTGTTG